TATTTATGTATTTGGTACAGAGTCTACAGGGTCTCACTAGGTAGAATGGACTCATAGTGATTCTCCTGTTTTCAGCCTCCCAAGCACTGGGATCACAGGCATGCACCACCATGCCCAGTCTTAATCACTGTCTCAGTGTGTACCCAGGGTGGGGCTGGCACAGCATGTCGGGATCGAACCTGGGCTGCTGTGCTCTGCCTCAGTAGGCGCTATTATTCTGCTGAGCTATCTGGCTGGCCCTGGATTTGATTATGTTAGTGTCACTCTATTTTCTGAATTACAGCTTAGAATTTAGAGGAAATGGATCTACTATTTTTATCAGGAAGGCTACCAATCAAAAATAGTGATGCTGTAATTTGAATTAAAAGTACTTTTTGGAAGTAATACTTTGAAATTGCCTTTCATCATATGTCTGTATAAGAATACAGTCTAATACTAACCTGAGAAACATTTAAATAGAAAGGCAGATCCTTTGCAGAGAAATTTACATGTTTTCGAACTGGAAATGGGTGGTTTTTGATTATTCTCCTTTTTGGATTTTCCATGCCATCACACCAGTTCTGCTTGTGTAGACATTCAGAAATAAAATATTTGCTTCATTTTTATCATGGCATATTCTAAATTGGGTTTATTTGAACTATTTTCTCAGTTTTGAGTCAGTTTCTGACCTAACGGAACTGTGGCAGGTAGGTTTTATTCATCAAAAATAATGGTGAGGGCTGGCAAGGTAGCTCAGTGGACTAAATGCCTGCCTAGACAAGTGCAGGGATTTGAGTTTGATCCCCAGTACCACGTGGTGCGCTGCTTCCACCCCCTGGCAAACTGAGGTGGCCATTGAGTCTGGGCATGGTGGCATGTGCCTGTAATCCCAGGGCTTGAGAGGCTGAGACAGGAGGATCACTACGAGTCTGATCTACATAGTGAGACCCTATAGACCCTGAAGAATTGCTACTAAAATACATAATGAATAAATAAGTAAATTGAGACCACATTAACACTAACTAAATCTTTTTTTTTTTTTTTAAATTTTATTTATTTATTTTGTGTGTGTGTGGCAAGCTCAGCCCACCAGGGGGCGGGGCTGGCTGGCATGTAGTGCTGGGGGATTGAACCGTGGTCCCTCTGCTTTGCTTAGCTTAGCTTGTTCTAAATAGGTGCTTTAGACCACTGAGCCATCTCACCAACCCCAACACTAACTAAATCTATTTGGTTTGTTACCTTGTCCTTTTACTTTGGACATGGTACAAATACCAGCTATCAGAAGGGAAGTGTTATTCCTTTACAGTCTTTTAATTTGGAAATAAAAAGAAAAGTGGACTTTAAAAAGCTTTTAAAAAGTGGCAGGAGAAAATGTATAGTATATTAGTTATTTGTGTTAAAGATGTATTATAGAAGTTGGTAAAAACATTTGAAAGACTGGCTCTGACACTTTAACTTTGCAGGTTAGAAAAAGAGTATGTCTCCAAAAACAAGAAACTAAATGAAGAGATCGAGGAACAGAAGAAAGTAATTATAGACCTTTCAAAGAGACTTCAGTATAATGAAAAAAGCTGCAGTGAATTACAGGAAGAACTTGTAATGGTAAGGATAAAAAACCCTATAGCACTTGCTTTATTGGCCATATTTGATGTGGATCAGATTCCCTGTTCTCCTTACTGTGTATCATGAGATACTGTATGAAAGTAATTTTAGCAACATTGACATAAAATTTCTAAACTGGAAATGCCAACTACATCAAATATAGTATACCATAATAAAACCTCTTTGATTTGGATACTTGAGGAAATTAACTGAATTAGTGAAAGTTCTGAGTTATAGAATATTTTATAATTATCCAGGGTTATGTTCTTTTTCATTTAAAATGCATAAAATGATATTACCTAAGTGGAGGGGAAATCGGGCTTTATAATCATACCCAAGTATTTCAGAGCTCCTTTTTGATCATTCTGTAACTGCTCATTCTGTCTCCATTCCCCAGCAGTCTAGCTTTCACATTGTCTTAGTTACTTTTTACTCATTGCTGGGGCAAATACTGGACACTGAAATTCAGGGAAGGAAAGGTTTATTTAGCTCACAGTTACTGGAGGGTTCAGTCCATATTCCGCTGGCTCCAAGGCAAATGTCAGCAGTTCATGCAGCAGAAAACAATGAAGAGCAGAGGAGGGGCAGCAGCTGCGGCATCCATCAAGCCTCTCTCTTCCTCCTGCGCTGACTGAAGACCAGCCCTCCATGGCGAAGATCAGTGCTACTCCAAAGTGGGGTGGCTGCCAAGATCAAGTTCCTCTGAAGACAGGGACTTCACAGAAGCGGAGCAGGGTGGCAGGAAGTCGGGCAGGGTGGCAGGAAGCCTTTCTCAATTCCTGGGCCCTGCCCACCTGCAGGGCAAGGCCCCCACGCTGGCTGCCAGAGCTGATTCAGCCAAGTTTACACAATGTATCAACTAACACACACATCATCTCCAAATTTTTATTTCTTATTTTATTTTTACATAGATCTGTTGTCAACTTTCTTTAGAAACTCAGTGTCTCTTGTTATTTCCCGAATACAGCCCACCTTGTCACATTATGTGTGCTCCTGCCCATTTTCCCTCCATGCTAACTCTTCTTAGCTGTTTCTTTGCCCTTGGCCATTTTTTGTCTTGAATCAGTGACATTTGAGTGCTCCTGGCTTTTGAACAGACACTTTGATGTTTGGCATTTGTTCAGCCTCTGATTATTTTGACTCACATTCACTAAAATGCTCCTTTTCTTTTCTATTAATGAATTCCTGAATATCCTTTAATGGCTAGCTCTAACCTCTTACAATGTCAAGCTTTCCATAGTTCCATTTTCATTACATTGCCAACTACCTTAAGTCAGAATTCTTCTCCTCCCTGACTATACTTTTAATACTTGGTTTAGCAAATTTGTCATAGCTCTCACCAAAATCTGATGTGTGTTCTCTCTCCCAAGAGCGGGGATACATTGAAATAAACATAATTAATTTTACATATCCAAGTTTCACTATAGTACAGTACTTATCTCAATAAACTTTTGCCAAATGTATTTCTTTGGTTGATGCAGAATACCCCACTGGTACTCTGGTGGTCTTTGATTATTCTTCCTGGGCTGTTAGTTGAGAATCCCAATAGGGTGGACATAATGATTACCGGAATACCTCATCACCTCCTGTTTTTCTCACCTGTACCTTCCTCCGTCGTTCAGCTGTCCCCCAAGACTTAGTGATTTCAATTATTGAGGAAAATGAATGTTGTTTTCTCAGAAAAGGTGAATACTCAATTATACTGTGATTTGGTGGCCAAGTAAGTGCTGCCCAGATGGAAAGGTAATGATGGGATGAAATTGAAACTCTTCAGCATTTTCAAACGATTCCTTATTACATACAGTCTGTACCTCAAGATTTTCAGTGTGTTCTGATTTGGGAATTGACATCATTGCGTACTCTGTGGTTCAGGTCTTTTGAATGTGGAGTTTTTAGTAAGGTTAGAGCTCTCTGTGTATACTGTAGTGTTTGTCACCCCAAATTAATTAGGCTGTTCTTTCCCTTTTTATTTTTTTTTGGTACTGGGGATCGAACTCAGGACCTTGTGCTTGTGAGGCAGGTGCTTATGCCACTGAGCTAATTCCCTGCCCTCCCTTTTTATTTGTATTTTGCTGCAGTGGAGATTAACCCTGGGGTCATGTGTGTGCTAGGCAAGCTTTTTACCACTGAGTTACAACTCTGCTTCTATCCTTCCTCTCAACCCTGAGCTTGGGAAGAAGAATCAGTGGTAGAGTAAAATGTGTTAAAGTCGATCTGAGTACTGGATTTGGTATATTTGTTTACTAGTCTGTGTTCTGGATAGTTTGGAAAATGACCCAGAGTTATAAGGAAGAGTGTAATAGGGAAGACATCATCATCAATGTAAGTTGCATTATTGCTTCTAATTCTGGCCTTCTGGAATGCCAGTGAGTAGCTACAAAATAAAGCCAGACTAGTTGAATTTACCACTGAACATAGGAGTGTTTCGTGGCTAAAAAAACTGACTTTTTGGCCAACTGGTGTTTTAAAATTTTTTTTACAGGCCAGGGAGATAGCTTGGCAGTCTTAAGTGCCTGCCTGGCAAGCACAAGGACCTGGGTTCAATCCCCTGTACCTCATGCCATGCTGGCCCCACACCAAGCTGGTGACTGAAACTGGGCATGGTGGTGCATGCCTATAATGCCAGTGCTGGGGAGGAGGATCACCATGAGTCCAAGCTCTGCAGTGAGGCCAAATACATAAATTTATTATTATTATTATTATTATTATTATTATTATTATTGTTTGGTTAATGGTCCAAAATAAGGCACGTTGTAGCTCACCAGAAACCTTTGTTTGCTTGGCACTCTTTCAATTAAGCTCTGTTGGTTGGTAACAGTTGTGACAGTTGTAGACTAATTAATTGTTTCTTCAAAGTTTGATGGATTGCTGAAAGTAGTTACAGATCTTTGTTTCCTTAGTGTGAAAACCTGAAAGAGAAAAATGGAATCTGAAGGGTACAGTAGACACTGGTAAAAGGGAATGAACGTATTGAAAAGGAAAGAGTTACTCAGTAGAGAAGGACAGGAGAAGGAGTGGGGGGGAGGAAAGATTTATCTATGTATGTAAGCAGGATGGTTTGGACAACTATACTGTGCATTTCTTTTTTTATTTTTTAAATTTTTAAATTTTTAAATTTTTATTTTTTAAAATTTTATTTATT